TCTTTGTATATTAGAAATATAGATGAAATATAATGAAATCTAAGTAGGGCATATAAGATAGAAATGTTTATAGGAATTTAATAATGGTCAACACATACAGTCAGTGGTAAAAATACTAGAAGTCACTCTATTTAATACAGAATATGAAAAAATATTTTGCACAATTGACCCTTGAATAACATGGGGGTTAGAAGCGCTGGCAGTTGCATAGATGCAAAACTGTGTATAACTTTTGACTCCCCCTAAGCATAACTACTAATAGCCTACTGCTGAGTGGAAGCTTTAACAATAATGTAAGTAGTCAATTGGCACATATTTTGTATGTCATATGTACGTATTGTATTTTTTTACATGTACTGTATTCTTATAGTAAAGTAAGCTGGGGAACAGAACATGTCATTAAGAAATTCCAAAGAAAGGAGAAATACATTGACAGTACTGTAAAAATGTGTATTATGTGGATCCATGCAGTTCAAACCTGTGTTTAAAATTCACCTGTAGAATTTATTTTATAAATAAATAAATTCTCTTTTAGAATTTCCTACCCTTTATTTGGAAAAATATAGGTATAAGTATACAAAGTTGATTATCAGAGAATATATTTGAATAGACATGGTTTTTATATGACAAAGTGCATTTAGTCCCAATATCTTCTGTGTCCTGTGTCCATGGTAATGTGCAATGGGAACTGATGTGATGATTTAGGAACTCTGAGGCAATATGTGTCATGCTTAAGATTATTTTTCTTGTTGTTCAAACTTTGAAAATTGCTTATGAATTGTATGGAAAAAAAATCCCAGAATACCTAATTCACATTGATGTTCTATTTCACAAACCACTCTGAATGAATAAACAGGGATTTAATACATTCTGAATAGGTTTCTATATTTCCTTCTGCTGAGAAGAATGGGAAAATCTCCATAAAATGAGCTAATCAAATTCCTATGGAGCCATGTCAATACTCACTTTGCAGCCTTCTTAAAATACAGATAGTTTAAGCAACTCTTGGATAAATCCCAGATTTGATGTATTCTTATGATCTAGGGGGCAGGGAAAATGAGAGTTAGAGAGACCAAATACCAGTTAAGAAAGAATAACAGGAAAGCAGCTTACTTGAGAGGAGACAAGAAGAATAAATATTTCATTTTCAAAAGACTTTGATTTTGTAATTTCAAAATGTTCATTATGAAAAATATCAAACACACATACAAGAATGTGAAACGACTATCCAGATTTTGCCTCATCCATTCTTTTTTTGATATGTTGTCAAGTATTTTAGACAACTGCAAGACCATACACTACTTTACGTGATATGTTAGGATGTATATATTTCCCCAAAATGAGGACAGTTTTTTGCATAGTCACAAAAAGATCTAACAAATTTAACAATACTTTCTTGAAATCATCTAATATCTATCCATATTTAAAACTTTTCATAAAAGTCATAATGTAAGACAAGTCCTTAAATTGCATTTAAAAAAATCTATAGCCCCCTCTTTTTTTTTTTCATGTCATTAACCCTTTGAATTATTTGCTTCAGTTATTTGTAGAATGTCCTAGTTTCTGGTTTTAACTCTGTGTTTTCATGGCATCATTAACTCTTCCTCCTGTAGAGGAAGGTAACTAGAAAGATTTTGGAAGATTTGATTTCAACGCTCTTTACCTAAAAATATTTATTGGTAATTCTGATTATTTCTTGTTACATTACAGCAGGCAGCATGGAATATCTCATTGTGTTTAGTGATACTAAGATTAGACAAAAAGTCAGGCCATTACATCCTGAACCCTCACTGTAAAGTTCCCCATCAATCTTTTTTCTAATGGTTTTATTCTCTAATGAACGTTGCCTGAAAGTTACTTCACATTACCTGGATTGTTCCCTTCTATAAAGATGAACTTTTGATCTATTTTGTTATCTTTCAATACAGTTTACATAGAAAATGTAGGATGAATGCTGACTTCTTTCCTTTGGCTTCCCACCCCCCCAATCTCTTTGTGAGTGCCAAGCTGAAGTTAAGGTTTGTGTGTCCTGTTTTGTTTTTTAAATTTCAACATATGCCAACCCATTGTAGTTATTATTTTTTTCCATTGATAAAATCGTTCCATATCTGGCCATTGGAAGCTTAGTTTTTATAGATTCCTGGTTGTTGTGATTTTTATCTTATTTATTATTTCTCAGCTTTATAGAGGTATAGGTGACATGCAGCAAATGCCACACATTTAGAATGTAAATCAGCTAAGTTTCCAGATATGTATGCACCCACAAAATCATCATCATAATCAAGAGAATAAGTATAATCATTCCCAAAAGTTTCATTTTCCCTGTGTAATCTCTCCTTCCAGAGTCTTGCCACCAGCTCCCACCTCTCCCTCCACCCTCTCTCTTTTTTTTGCCAGGCAACTACTGACTTATTTTGTTTCTACAGTTTTGCCTTTTAGAGAATTTAATGTAAGTGGAATCATATAATTTATAGTTTTTTTATAGAAGTTTTTATAGACTTCTACTTAGCATGTTGGCTTTGAGACTGATCCATGTTGTGTCTGTTGATAGTTCTCATTGCTGAGGAGCGTTCCGTAGGGCAGGTATAGCATGTTTCTCTATCCATTCTCTAGCCAACTAACATTTAGGTTTTTTTTTTTTTTTTCAGTTTATGGCTATTACAAATAAAGCTGCTAAGAACATCTGTGTGCAACATTCTGTTTGAGCACATGCTTTCATTCCCCTTGCATAAATATCTAGAGGTGGAATTGCTAGATTATATGGTACATGTATGGTTAACTTTTCACAAACTGCCAAACTGTTTTCCAAAGTTAGTGAACAATTTTGTATTTGGGGTTTTAATTTGCGTTTCCCTAATCACTAATGCTTTTTGAGTATTTTCTTTAAAAAAATATTTTATTTATTCATTCATGACAGACACACAGAGAGAGAGAATGAGAGGCAGAGATACAGGCAGAGGGAGAAGCAGGCTCCATGCAGAGAGCTCCATGCGGGACTCGATCCCGAGACTCCAGGATCACACCCTGGGCTGAAGGCAGCACTAAACCGCTGAGCCACCCAGGCTGCCCATTTTTGAGTATTTTCATGTGCTTATTTTCCTTCTGTACATCTTTTTTGATGAAGTCTGTTCAAATATTTAGCTCATTTTTTTTATTGTCTAGCTGTTACTGTGTTTTGTAAATTCTTTAAATTCTGAATGCAAAACCTTTGTCAGATACATAAATTGCAAATATTTTCTCCCAATATATTACTAGTCTTTTCATTTTCTGTAAAGTGTCCTTCTGAAAAATGGAGATTTTCTTATCATTTTGATGAATTCCAGTTTCCATACTTTTGGTATTATAGCTAAGAAATATTTCCATATCAAGATGATAATTTTTTAAAAAGATTTTATTTATTTATTCATGACATACAGAGAGAGAGAGAGAGAGAGAGAGAGAGAGAGAGACCGAGGCACAGGCAGAGGGAGAGGGAGAGAAGCAGGCTCCATGCAGGTAGCCTGATGTGGGACTCAATCCCAGGTCTCCAGGATCACACCCCAGGCCTACGGCAGTGCCAAACCACTGGGCAACCGGGGCTGCCCAAGATGACAAATTTTTATTTTATGTTTCATTCTGGAAGTTGTATAATTTTAGGTTTTATGTCTATTACCTATTTGAATTAATGTTTTGCAATATTTCTTTTTAAAAAAATATGGATGTTTGCATGCCCAGTATCATTTGTAAAAAGATTCCCTTTCTTTACCAACTTGCCATTATATTTTTGTTGAAAGTCAGTTATCAGTGTATGGATGGATTTTGAACTATTTTATCCCATTTTTCTACTTGTCTTACACTAAGACTACTCTGTCTTGATTAATGTAACTTTATTATAAGTCTTGAAATCACAGAATGTTAGTTTCCTAACTTTCTTCTTCTTTTTAAATATTGTATTGGCTGTGCTATGTCCTTTGCACCCCCTCACATGTACACACATCCATGTGTATGTATATATGTATGTAGATATATGTACAGTCATAGTAGAATCAATCAGTTTTCCACTCTTTATTTTTAAAAGAGCCTAATGATTTTAATTGAGATTTCATCAAAGCTATAGATCAATTTGGGTGAAAGTGACATCTTAATGATATTGAGTCTTCTTACCTGTCTATGGACATGGTATATTTCTTCATTTATTTGGGGCCTTTTTAACTTCTCTCAGCAATGTTTTATAGCTGTCAGTGTATAGGCCTTTATCAGATTTCCATTGAAGTGCTTCATATATTTGATGCAGTTGTAAAGAGTATTTTTGTCTTCATTTTTTATTATTTGTTGCTAGTATACAAAATGACAATTTATTTCACTATACTGAGTTACTACTCTATAAAATTGTTAATCTCATTTATTACCTTTGGTAGCTTTTATAGATTCCACCAGCTTCCTACATAGTTTTACTGCTTCCTTTCTATTTTGGAGGCCTTCCCCACCCCCCTTCTCTTGTCTTATTGCACTGGTGAGAATCTTTAGTACAATACTGAATAGAGTGGTAAGATTTTACTTTTCAATTTCTGATCTTTGAAGCAAGTATTCACTTCCACCATTAAGTGAGTAAGATATCATTACTAAGTATGTTGTAAATACACTTTATCAGGTTTAAGAGGTTCCTAAATATTCCTAGTTTGCTGAGAGTTTTACCAGGAATGGATATTGCATACTGTCAAATGTTTTTTCTGCAAATATTGATGTAGTGGTTATTTTTTGCAAACAAAATTAAGTTAGTGTGTACATGTACAAATATAAATCTTTGCATCCTATTTTATACCTTGTTTTTTTTTCCACCTTAAATGTATATCCACATGACTGAAAGACACCTCATTCCTTTTTAGAGCTGTATGTTGTCCAATATGTAGTTGTACTCATGAGTCAACTTCCTATTGATAGATTTATGGAGTGTTTTTAATTTGTGCTGTTACTAACAATGTGATCATGAATAACATTTAGCATAATTATATTTCTTCTAGGGTACTTTTGGAATGGATGCTTTCAAGTGAGACTGATGATTCAACTGGTAGGTAATGTGAATGAAATTTTTTTAGAGACTGCATTTTCAGCAATAATATTTATTAACTCATGTTTATTTTTTTGACCTGTTATATATGTTACAAATATGTTTCCCAGTTTATTATTAATATTTTACTTTGCTTATCGTATCTTTTGCCATGCGATAGATTCTATTTTTTACCTCTTTCACTGGCTTTATATTCTGAATGATATTATTAGGAAATTTTTTTTTTAGATCTAGGTTAAAAATAAATGCATCCTTGTTTTCTTCATATGTCCCTGTATTGTTGTTGTTGTTGTAATTATTATTCTTTCCATTTATTCCTCTTTTTTTTTAGAATTTGTCCTTGTCTATATATGACATATCTGTAGCTGCTATTTTTATTAGTCACTTGGGACTTAAAAGCAGACTCCTGAGAGTCTGTATTAGTAGCAGCTTATATACAACTTCTATGAAATGGCCAGCCAGTAATATGAGTTTACATTTCTGTCCTAATGCATTGCTTATAAAGGAAAAATATAATTGTCAGGAAAGAATCTTCAGAACGTTAAAAATCAAACAACAACAAACAATCTCAATATTATTTGACTTTTTGATTTTGTAAGGAAAATATATTTGAGGTCCTTTAATAGCTATATATCACCTGTAGAAGGTTTAAAAGACATGTTTTTCTCACCAGATCTTATACTTATTCAAGAAATCTGAAGCCAACTTGAATTCCCTTAATATTTAAAATAAATCTTGCTAAAATAACAAGAGATGCAGTTATGATTGATGAATGTTATTTGAACTCCTCATTAGACTGAGTATTCTGAATTAATTGTGAACACATTAAAATCAAATTCTGTAATTGTGGTTCTCCTGGTAACCTAGAGAAGTAAAATATTAATTTCTTTAGGCTATCACAATAGTACAAGATTTTAAAAACAAAATATTAATCCCTCTACTTTGCTTTATCTCTCCTTAAAAGCATTTCTGGCTTACTCTGTAATGTCAATTATCAATAGACTAATTAAAACATAGTCACACATTCTGTTTCCTAATGTTTATATTATAAAGGTCAACAAAATGGCACAAAGACTTTAACTGTCGTATTTATTTTTAAATTGCTGAGAAATAATGATACCGTACTCTGCATTCTATCTAAGCAATTTAGCAATTCTCTAAGCAGCACTCAAGCAAGGAGGGAGAGGGATGGTATCTTTTCTGGGAAGTCTTTCTTTTCTGTCTCAAATTCAATTGAATTAACCCCTATGGAACTTATTTGAAGACAGGAAATAAGAGAAAAAAATGTTAGCAATAAAATGAATGTGCCCATCTGACTCTTTGCCTCTTTCAAAATGAAGTGGCTGTAGAAAGGATATTACTGACATGTTGTTTGGTAGAATAAATTAAAGATGAAGTAAAATAAAATATGAAAAGACACCAAGTTATTTATAAAAAAAAGGCATATTTAATGTTAGTTTAGTTTTGTATTGGTGACTTTACAGAAAGTATGTGCTAATGTTTGTATGAAGTGAAGTTTATCCCTTTGTGGGTTTTTTGTTGTTAATTCTTTTAAAAGCAAGCAAAACCTTCAGAGTACATGCATATCTTTTTAATGTATTTACAGACCATTTGACATGTTTAAATGATTTTAGAGTGATATTTTAAGTGTAGATTTTTGTGTAATTTTCTATGTGTACAAAACTATATTTGTTATGATTTGCTCTTCTGTTAGACTGCATCTGTTTTAACAAACTACCTTTCATGTAATGTTATTTGTAAGACATGTAAAAAACTAACAAAAACAAAAACTTGACTTTTTGTTCTCTAATACCCACCACCTAACTAATACCTAGGCCTTCCTAAGTGTCACTTGATTCAGTCTCTGGACTGCTTTTATTTATTTTATTTTTATTTATCTATTTTAGATTTTATTTATTTATTCATGAGAGACAGAGAGAGAGAGAGAGAGAGAGAGAGAGAGAGAGAGAGACACATGGGGGGGCGGGGCAGAGACACAGGCAGAGGGAGAAGCAGGCTCCATGCAGGGAACCTGATGTGGGACTCAATTCCGGGTCTCCAGAATCAGGCCCTGGGCTGAAGGCTGCTCTAAACCACTGAGCCACCTTGGCTGCTCAAGGACTGCTTTACTTTTAGGTAATTTCCTATAGTCTTGAGATAGCTGTCTACCTATATCCTACCTACCCAACAACCCTTTTAAAATCTATCATCGTCAAAGGATCACAATCATTGTTCTATTTCTTTTCTTTGTTGAGGAATAATTTACAAATATAATTGTATATATTTGAGGTGTACTTGATAATTTGATAAACATATATCATGGAATCATTACTGAAATTAAGATAACACTTCCATCACTTCATATAGTCAATTCTTTTTTGTGTGTGATGAGAAACCTTAAACCTTAAACCTTAAGATCTATAGATCTATTCTCAGCAACTTTTGAGCATACAATACCATATTATTTTTTTTACAATACCATATTATTAACTACAGTCACATACTATATTTAATACCTCAGAATTTATTCTTAAAAATGAACATTTTACCCTTATCCTAAATGTCCCATTTCTTCCATCCTGTGTTTCTATTTCATCCTCCGGCATCTACTGTTTCTATGAATGTGGCTTATTTTTTTTTAAGTTTCCACCTATAAGTGATACCATACAGTATTTGTTTTTCTCTGTCTGGTTTATTTCACTTACCATAATTCTCTCTAAATTTTATGTTGTCAGAGAAGGCAGGAATTCTTTATTTTTTATGGCCAAATAATATTCCATTATGTGTGTATATTTATTATACACACATACGTATACACACAATATTTTCTTTAATAGTATAGATATATATCTGGACATATAGAGAGATATATATCTATATTATTAAATAAAATATTGTGTGTATACGTATGTGTGTATAATAAATATACACACATAATGGAATATTATAATATATAGAGAGATATATGTCCAGATATATAGATATAGATATATTATATACACACATGTATACATATGCACACAATATTTTCTTCAACTCAGCATCAAAATATAAGTTGTTTCCGTATCTTGGCTATGGTTGGTTGGAAGATACTCAATATGATATTAATCTTAAATTTATCAAGACTTATTTTGTGGCCTAACATAATCTATCCTGGAGAATGCTTCATGTACATACAAAAGGAAATATATTCTGCTGCTGCTTGATAGAATGTTTTGTATATGTCTCTTAGGGTTATTTTGTCTAAAGTAAAGTTCAAGTCCTTTATTTCCTTATTGATTTTCTGTCTCAGTAATCTAACTGTTGTTGAAAATAGGGTATTGAAGTCCTCTTCTGTTCTTACATTGTAGTCTATGTCTGTCTTCAGATAGGTTAAATATTTTTTAATACATTTGGGTGCTCCAATATTGGGTACATATATATTTACAATTATAATATATATTTGATGAATTGACCCCCTTATCATTATATAACAACCTATTTTTACTTGTTACAGCTTTTACTTAGTATGTAGTTTGTCGAAGTCTAGCTAACCCTGCTATACAGATAGCATATCTTTTGTCATTGCAGCTACTCCATGTCTTTCAGTTGAAGAATTTAAGCCATTTATATTTAGAGTAATTATTAAAGGTAAGAACTTACTATCATCGTTTTGTTAATTGCTTCCTGATTGGTTTGTAGCTCCTTTGTCTTCTTTCCTCTCTTGCTGTCTTTTCTTCATAAATTGATTATTTTCATAATGATGCTTTTGCTTTGTGATTATAATAAGGCTTTCATAATATATCTTATAGTTATACCAGTTCATTTTTATGCCAACAACAGTTTAACTTCAACTGCATAAATAATTACTTGTTCACCCCCCAAATTTTATGTTTTTTGGTGTCATAACTTACAACTTTTTATGTTGTGTATATATTAACAAAATATTGTAGCTATAGTTATTTTTAATCATTTTATCTCTTAGCCAATTTGCTAGAGTTCATGGTTTAAAATGTGTTGTATAAACTTATATATCCATTTTCTCATTTTACTGCAACAAAATTTGCCAAATATGATTGTCACACTCAAAGAATTCTGCATACCCAAATGTAAATATTTCTCTAAAACTGAACCAAGAAGACTGGCAAAAGCCTATTTCATTTCTTGAATCCCCAACTTTATTCAAGATTTCTATCCAAATGTTAGTGACTCAATAGTTTTTAAATATCGATTCTGTCCCTCGGGTTCTCTTTTTCCATATACCCACCCCTTGTCTCTGTTTGTGGTCTTACCTCATTTGGTTCTTGCTGATTTGGGAAAAAATATTAATTTTATTATACTTTCTTATCCACAATGTGACTCACAAGTCTTTTAGACTTTAAACTTTGATATGTACAACTAAGCTTTTAGCCTTTGCAAAATCTTTTCCTTCACAAGCCCCTGGTTCTTAAAATTGGGAAACACGACTTTCAAACTGCTCTTCGCTACAGATTTATAGATGTCTACTGCAACATTGGCACTCCAGGGAATTTCTCTCATTAAGACAAGCAATGATCTGCTAGTTGCCAAATCCTATGCATATGTTCAGTCCTTATTTTACTTGACCTCCCTGGCCTTTGGCACCGTTAATGACTCTGTACTTAAAATTACTCCTCCCAGGATATCTGTGAAATTGTTCACTCCTGATTCTTCTTCTCTCTCCACAGACCACTTATTACAATTTTCCTTTCAATCTGCACACTCCACATTGCTGTTCAAAGGGGATCTGTTCATCCTCTAATTTATATTTCCTGCCCATGATTTCAACTGTCATGTGATTTGCTGAAATCTAGATTTCTAGCACAGACTCCTTTGAGTCCTATGTGGAAATATAGTATATAGCTATTGTTTTGTATTGCTTTGTTTTATTTTATTTTTGTTGTTTTTTGCTTGCTTGTCTCACTCAAGCATTAGCAGTACTATATCAGATATGATCAGACTCTGCTACCTGTCCAACTCATATCCTGTCATTTTTCCTTTCTACGTAATGGCTCAATAACACCAAACAACTTAGGTCTCTGAAAACGCCCTACTCTTTCACCCCTTCATGCCTTTACTCAAAATGCTTCTTTTTTTTTGGAATGACTTTCCTACCCTCACTTTCTCCTGAGCATAATAGTATTTATCTTGTAATACTTAATTCTGATGCTTCCTCCTCCATGAAACTTCCCCAGGGATGCCTAGGTGGCTCAATGGTTGAGCATCTGCCTTCCCCTTAGGGCACGATCCTGGAGTCCAGAATTGAGTCCCACATTGGGCTCTTTGCGTGGAGCCTACTTCCCCTTCTGCCTATGTCTCTGCCTCTCTCTCTCTCTGTCATGAATAAATAAATAATATCTTAAAAAAAAAAGAAACTTCTCCAGACTTCCTCAGTCAAATTGAGTAGTATTTCTCTCCATAAGCTCCTTCTTTGTACTTTGTATATAAAGCTTGGTGTAATTATTATTATATTATTTTATAATTGCTTGTTTTCATATTTGTTTCTATAACAGATTCTGGGGTCTTTTATAGGGCAGCCATAATGTCTCTTTTATTTTGATTTTTGTAAAACCAAGCATCATGAACTAAATCAGATAGGCAGTTAATGCATGAACTGACTGCATAAATGCATAAATGAACGATATATAGTTGATGCAGCCTTGTTTTATACCTCAGACTAAATGTACATTGGTTCTTGACATGTGTTGTGCTTTCACTTTATGTGTCATTCCTTATGAATAGAGACTAATTTTTCCATTTGTATGAAGACCCACACTGAGTATGCTATAGTCTCCAATCAGTCAGTCATTGATTATGGATAGATGATGCATTACTTATTGGAAGATTATTTTGGCAACAGATCTCTATGACATTACTTCAGCTTAAGGCTACAACCTGTCCACTTCCAAGAAGGGAATAACTAAAAGTCTGCACAGGGAGCCTTGGCTGACTTGCTCCTAATCTTATCTATCCATGAGTTAGCAAAATTAAAGATGTAAAAAAGTAGAAAGAATTTATATTGAAGAATTTAATTCTTAAAGCTCATTATTATTTTTAATTAAAAAATATTAATCTTGATTGCTAAGACTTTAATAGAATGCATCATCTTTTATGTAAGAAGGCATGGGTCTCTTCTGAAATAATTGATTCAGAAAAATTAGGGATAGCTTAACATCTTGGATATATCTGTTTCTCAAGAAAAAAATTCCAGATATATATTAGTGTTCATATTAGATGGATTATTAAAATATATACCTAACCCAAACTCATATGTCTATCACTAAATATGCACCATACACTAAATATTTTGTAAATATAAATATGGGAATAGACATATGCTGTTGGAAATGGAGAAATATTCTTAATGACTCAGTTCAAAACTCCCAAATATCCTAGTAGTTCTTTGGTTAACAGGGTTTTTAGTTCATTGTTTCTGTTTGTTATTTATGTAAAGAGGGGGGAAAATGTTATTAAAAAAGATGTTCTTCATTTTGTAGTAATTTTGCTAAAGTTTATCTTTACTTTTATAGTTTATACATTTATACTTTTATAGTTTAATCAGTTTCCATCCCTATAGCAAATGCTAATACATCCAAAACTAATTTCGGAAATATTAAAACACAGAGTTACAGATAGTAACTAGTTTATGCATTAAATAAATAAAATTAAGAATTAAAAGTTATAATTGAAAATAGGAAATGAAAATTCATTAATTGGGATCATGATTTTGCTTTTACTACGGATTCTAATAATTTACTGCTAAAATTTATGGTACTCAAGGAAAGGATTATTTGTCCAGTATTGGGGAAAGAATACACTGTCTAGGAGGAGAAGTGTGGAGAAGCCACAGCAGGATGGAGCAATTGGTCTTGTAAGCTGAGTGAACACACTATGGGATATTAGTTAAAGGAATATGATACTGATTCATGAAGAAGGCCCATGGACAAATGTAAGCACACTTTATCCAAGAACTTGGACTCTGGAGACACCTTTGGAATTTTATAGAAAGTAGTATATTAGATGAGTTTGACTCTATTCATAGACATACCCCCAAAATTACCTCCCTGTTAACATTTCATCAATAAACTTCCTCTTGGTTTTAGAAACCTTAGTATCATAGAATATATGATTTTTTGGGTTCTGTTTTACAAATATTAATGTAGGGATTACTTTTATTTAAAAATCCAAAACATAATATATGATGTGTGAGAAAAGTTATTATCAAAGAATTCTTAAAGTTTTCATCAGAATATGCTTAGAAAAGTAGAGTGAATGCCATTAACAGAGATGTGCAGATGCAATTATGAATATTTTTTAAATTAAAACCTCAGACTGGCTGGATTCTTCCAACATATTTATTTTTAAAAAGTTGAGACTAAAAAAAGAAAAAAGTTGAGACCAAGCAAAGTATAAGCTAAGATCAACTTTGTAATTCTTTTACCCTAAAGCTTGAACCACCTAACCAGAAATATTTAATATGTATTTTCTGCTCAAGGGTACCTAGAACAGCACTGAAAATGACATGGACTCTCTGCAGCTCCACTAAATCTCATGGTGTCCCTGAAATTGCCCCCCCACCACCCAAATCCTCTGCTGCATTCCTTTTGCAACCAGAAATAGGGCATTGCTACCCTCCTTGCTCCTTCTTTTTCAGCTTTCTTCAGGGTCTATTTTCTACTCTATTTGGTATGTAAGAAAGACCTCATTTTTGAAAATTGCCTTCTTTTTACTCTCAATTTTTATTTGTATTTCTCTAATCAACTTACTTGTTGCTATATGATAGTTTTGCTCTGCTTTATCCTAAATGCAATGTTGATGTAATGGCATACAGACTGCACATGCTACTTAGCTGCACAGAAAGAAACTGCTTGTTAATAAATAGATTGTGATCAGAAAATGATGCCTTAAGTATTTAGCATCTTAGCAGGAGAGTTCTATTGCTTACATGTAAGAATATTACTGTATTTTAGTTACATTTTAGGAAATTGGTCTTTGGTTTGATATGTGATTATGTGTTATAATTTCTCTCATAAAAAAGGCTGGAGAGTAGGCTGCAGGTAAGCATTTTAATGCAGAGCATTTGACTTTTCAGGATGAGATTAGGAATAGATTACTGATGTTAAGCAAGAGATGCTTAATCTCCATTTTTTATTACAGTAATTTTTTTTCTGTTGTCAGAAACAGTGGGCTTGCCAATGAGGTGATGGCAGTTGTAAGTTAGGGAGACCAATCCTACCTATAGATTTTGCACGTTTCAGAGTGGGAGTTGAATTGAGACAAATGTGACACATGTGTATCCTAAATTGAGCTCTGCATCTCTAAAGCAAGGTTGAGAAAAACTTGAGTAACAGTTCAGTAATTTTTTTTCTAAAGACAGGGCCAGAAGAGCCCACTAGAGGCAACATTTTCCAACCCCCTGACTCCAGTAAGAATGAACCTAAATAATTCCAAACAGTTATTTCTGATCCTAAAATATATCCAGGAAATGAGAATCTACCCGTTGGTAACTAGTTCCACTATCTCACAGTCATTATGCCAATATGTACTATTAAGAGGCCTAAATGCACACATTACTGACACAATGGGCTATAATTGCGCTTTTGAAACTGCTCCACAATATCCAATCTATGATT